AACAAAGATTGATACATACCAATACAAAAAATGTCAGCAAACAACGCACAAGTGATCTGGTACGGGGGCGGGAAAACCGATGATCATTCAAGTGACTCAGATATTTATAGTGATAATATATCTGAAAGTGGATCAGAGAATTGCAGTGACTATGGTTCCGACTATGAATCAGATACTGAAACAAGTACTATTAAGTCACCAATATCCCAACCCCCTAATATAGAAAAACAAATGTCTAATTCGACAAATTCTACAGATCAAGTGAGCTCCATATATCCTGGTTCCACCAAGACTGCTTTCATTAAGAGGCAAGAAAAATTCGATGATAAATTTACCTCAAAGGGTTTGCTAAATAAAATTCGTGAAATTGCTTCCTCACCTGCCAGAGATATGGCAGATAAAAAAGGTTCGCTGGGAGATTTACATTTATGGGACTACCTCTTGCATAATTATGAAGCAAAGAGCAGAATTAGTTTATACGATGCGTATAAAAGAGATGAATTAACTAATAGATTGGTTATTCAAGTAGAACAAGGTGAGTACAAAAAATTCTCAGTTATAGATGGTATTTCCGAAGTATATGGTTTACCTGGGATACATGAATGTATTAATGGACAACGATCACTAAGACCTGTGATTGATATCAACGCCTCTAGTGAGAAAATGAGATCAGAAAAGGTCAACACAAGAGATGTATTCATTCGTATTTGTTGTTCATTTATAAGAGCATTATATTGAATTCTTGATTGCAATTGGGAAGAAATTCTCAAAGGACTGGTAATTGCTATATCATCCGACTCTAGTAAATGCAGTTATCACCTTCTATACGCTCCAACTCTTCTTGTTGATTATCAGGAGCTCAAAGAATTTACAGAATTAGTATACAGATTAACGGGAGAAAAATATGGTAAGTTTATTGATAGAGGGTTACCTGGTCGAAATTTCTGTCTCCGCTTAATAGGTTCAGCAAAAAAAGATCGCGTGAAGCGCATTCTCCAATACTCACTAGATAATGGGTGGTGCAATCTCAATGACAGCTAAGTTCAACCACCAATTAATATGAATTTAGAAGTACGTCCTCGCATACTTAGTGTAGAGAAAATAAATCAGAAAAAAATAATCGTGGGCCAAGATGCGTTAAAAAAATACGCGAATCTAGTTTTGCAGAAGTATCCTGATTATCTCAGTGGTTGGAATATCGAAGAAAAAGATTCTCAGTATTTCGTATATTTTAGCTGAAAAGCGTATCTAGAATGCTCAATCTGTGAATGCCCGCACGACAAGGATCAGTGGTGGTTTGGTCGTGCATATGGTAATGGTTCATTCATTGTGAAATGCTTCCAACAAAATTGTGATGAATCATGGGAAATTTTCAATGACCCATCTATTGCGGAAAAAATCCAGCAAAAAAATAAAAATAATATTTCACTGCCTGTTTCTCCAAAAATAAAGGGACCAAAGTTTCCAAAACCCTTTTTAGAAATGCCAGCTTGGGCTAAATGTGATTCTCCTCTTACTGCAACGGAGGTATATAAGGAGCAATATGTAAAACCTTTACCTCGGGAAGGTGATGTTTATGTAGGTTCACCTTGGGAGACGGGGAAGACTTATACTCTAGAGCATCTTACCATTCCCGAAGCTATAAATTTGCTCGCTCTATCTACACAACATACTTATTCTAGTGCAGTTACTGTAAGACTTAATCTCAAATCCTACTGTGATATTGACACCAAGGAAATAAACCTCCCAGATCATTAAAGAGTAGTATGTCAGATAGAAAGTTTACATCGCATTACTAATAATTGCAAATGCGAGAAAAAATGTAAATGTCCCCCAATTCCATATGACTTATGGTTCGATGAGGCGGTGTTTGTGAATAGCCAAGCCCACACTCGCTTAGCAGGACGTTCACGAGAGAATTTATATAAGTTAATTCACGATGCAAGACGTATTATTGTTATGGATAATGATTTAACTGATCTCAATATAGAATGGATTAAATCACTTCAAAATGGCAAGCAATTTTCAGTTATCCATAACACTTACCAACCCCAGAAAGGTAAAACATTCCGCTTAGCTCCTAATAGAGAAACTGTGTTAGCCGAACTTTGGAAATGGGGAAAAGTGATGTCCTTGTTACCTTATGAAGAGCGAAAAAGTACATCACTAATTTGCCATCAGAGAACGGATATACAAGGCATTGCTCGCGCTCTGATAAGAGATTTTCCAACATTGCGCATCAAAAGATATCATGGTAAATCTGATACAGTAGAAAAGGCTTGTGATTTTAGCAATGTGAAAGAGGCATGGAAGGACGTGGATCTTGTTGCATATACAAGTACATTAAAAATAGGAGTCTCATGTACTAATCCCAAGTTTGAGCGTGCATTTTGTCTTTTCAGAAGTGATATAGAAACAAATGCTGGGATTAATCAGATGCTATTCCGCATGAGATGTATTAAGGAATACACATGCCACATCGAACAAAGATCATCAAATCTCCCAATCACTGAAGAAGGATTATTCCACTGGTTATTAAAAGCAAAGCAAAAATGTCTTTCTCATGAACTTCAAAATAGGGGTATATTTCCGGATGTAGAATTCATTATTTGAAATAAAGACATCCCAACAGTTCGATTATGGATTGCCCATACATTGGAAAAATTCTGATCTCGTCATTTGTTTGGATAGAGAATGGTTGATTTTCTTAAAAAAGCAAGTATGATAGTATCTATAATAAAAGCTACCCCAAACCCAAAGAAGATGTCGTATCATTAACTACAACCGTAAAGGGGTATTCTGTGACTATTAAAGCAGAGGAAATTTCAAACATTGCTAACGCCAATATTCTCAACCATGAGACGGCTGAACATCTAGAAAACAAACCAAAGAAGACTTTAGAAGAAATGTATGCATTAAGCCAGTACCATATTGCAGATTGCTATGGAATGTCACCTGAATCTATAACTGAAGAATTCATCACGGATTATGATGGATATGATGAAATGAAATGGTTTAGAAATCTTCAGAAACTACGAGATGCGGGCACTAATAATGAGACAGCGGTTGAAACAATTACTCATGCAGATTATAGAGATGATAGACTTACAACTGTTATCCAAGCTGAAAAACACTGAATCTGTCTGGATATACTAAAGACTTGTACACCTGTTAAAGATATTGATGATTGAGATAGATATAAAGCTGATATTGTTAAATCGTGTTTAGAATCGCCTAAGTCTATGAAGTATCTTCAAAATTTAGTACCTAAAATGGCAAGAGTCTTTGATAATACAGATGCATTTCGACGTGCTAAAAAATCTAGTTTAAAATTAATAAAATCAAAATTAGGATTGTTGAACTCAGCACTTTCTGCAACTTATGAAATAAAATTTAAAGCTATAGACAATAATCACAGGTATTATCATCTAGTTGGTCCATTTGATAGTGCATATGCACCTGAGTTATCGCCATACCAAACAGAAGAGGGACTCTTTTATGAAAATGGTGAGGATATGCGATATGTATATAGTAAACTCTCACCCGATGAATTAGAACCTCCTTCCAATTCTAACTCGCAAGATCTCCAAGATGTGTTTGACATCTGTTAATGTAAATATTTATTTAATGAGATCTATGATATATCTTACAAAGGGGTTTTTGTGATGCTTAAAAAACACGATTGGGAAAATTTGACCCTACGGTGACCTCAGAGTTATAGAAATAATTATACATCTGCTTCCACTATATGCGCTTTTTGTTTTTCATACCAGTTGTTGAAATAAACTCTTTTAGCATGTTTCGCACAATAGCCAGTATAAGATAGTGTAAGTTTATTACATATTGTTACAGTTGTAACATAAAAATCGTTAATTCCAAAAATAGTCGAAAAACATAAAATATTTAAAAATATTCAT